ATTATTTACTATATCCAGTCAACAGCTTTCTTTAAGAACTTTCTAGTGCAAAATAGAAGAGTGATAGAACTTGAGTACGAAAAGGAAAAAAATCTAATTAATTAAATGTATCTCTGATTAACAGAAAAATAATATAAGCTACAATAATATTGTTATTTCAGAATCCCCCAGTTACAGAGTAACAGTGAGAAGATGGTGATCTACCAAACTTTACTTGTGACAAAATTCTAGTGTAGTCTTTTTTTAAGAAATGATAGAAGAAAGTGATTGGATTACAAATAAGATTAATATGATGATACATCAGTATTATGAGCATCTTTCTTACATAAAGAATATTTTCTGAAGACATGGATAGTAAAAAAAAAGGTAGCACAATAAAATTATACAGGGACAACTTATTAAAATAAACGTGCTCAGTTCATTGTGAGGAAATAAATTTTTTTTTCTGAAAACAAATAGAAAGAAAATAATAACTATGTTAGCCCAGAGAAAGGAATACACTTGAATTATAGATGAACAAGGCCATATACTGTATATGACTAATACGTAACCATGAAGAATAGGTTAAGATAAGGGAAAAGCAGTAGAAACATCAGTTTTCAGGAAGATACATTATTACAGTGTACCCAGTTAGTTTATGTCACTTTTTAAAAGTCATTTAAATAAATTTATTTGTGGAAGAAAAAATATCTGAACATCAGGTATGGTTTGATCCGCAATGATCCAACAATCTGTCATAACTCACTCTAGGAGTATTCTTACACAGTTTGCAAGAGAAATTACATGTGGAGCTACAGGTGAACATTTATCAAAATTCATAAAGCTGTTTAACCTGAGTGTTACACAGTACATAGTGACCATCATACAATAGTAAAAATACAATATCAGACACTATTTTTACAAGCTACGATGTAAACAATTTAGGCTCTTTTTAAAAAAAAAACACAAAAATTTGATTACAGCTTTATTTCAAGCATTTTCAGTTAGACACAGGTTTATATATTTTAACTCAAAATAGCAAAAGACCTTCTGTAGGTAAAATATATTCTGTGTTTAAATGCTCGCATTCTGAAGTATGACTTGCCATGTATGAGTTCAGGTGGGACGATGAAGCTGCTGTAGCAAAATTCTGGCTGATGATGAAGACTCGGACACATTTCATCTTTCATGAAGTCATTCAATATTTTGTGTATTTACATGAAGGGGAAAAGAGGGGAGGATACAAACGGAGCCAGCATTCTTTTTTTTTTTTTTTTTTTGAGATGGAGTCTCGCTCTGTCGCCCAGGCTGGAGTGCAGTGGCGTGATCTCGGCTCACTGCAAGCTCCGCCTCCCGGGTTCCCGCCATTCTCCAGCCTCAGCCTCCCGAGTAGCTGGGACTACAGGCGCCCGCCACCTCGCCCGGCTAGTTTTTTGTATTTTTTAGTAGAGACGGGGTTTCACTGGGTTAGCCAGGATGGTCTCGATCTCCTGACCTTGTGATCCGCCCGTCTCGGCCTCCCAAAGTGCTGGGATTACAGGCTTGAGCCACCGCGCCAGCATTCTTTTTGGATGAAGCAGCCTAATTCCAGAGAAGGGGCTTTCCATTTTGAACTCAAAGGGTGTGATGCACAAATTGAATTCTTACCAGTCCAGGGAGCTGCCTTTGGCCTGGGAGGCAACACTTGATGATGAAGTGAGCTAAAGGGAAGTGTTAACTGAACTACAGGGATGGTTGCCTGTAAAACAAATTTCCAAACATGCTCAGGCCCACGCAGAGGTGAGGTGCAACCAGAACTATCAATTAAAAAAAATGCATTCACAGATGCAGACACAGAACTTGTAGGAAGAGTAACAGTTCTAGGGGCCTGGTTGTAGTTTCTAATATCTGCCTTCACCACCCTCTGTGACTCTTCTATTTTTCTGCTTTAATTTGATCCCAAGGATTTCATTAGCAACTTTCTGAAAATACAGGAAGATACAGTCTCCTGTCTTGGCTGAGATAAAGTGGCTACTAAAACCATTTTCCTGGCAAACCCATAAGTGTTTTTCAGGTTTTGCTGTTTCCATATGCTCCAAATCAATTTTATTGCTCACCAAGGCAACCAGTAGCAAAGTTTCTGACTCTTCCCTCCCTTTCTTCAGTACAATGTACCGATCTTTTAAATTCTCCAAGCTTTGCTAATTTGTAACATCATGTATCAAGAGGATTCTCTGTGGTCCATAGATAAATGTACCCACCATCTTGCTGCCTATTGTACACACCCCCTACATCTCATACTTGAAGAGTAACCTTCAAGTTTCCTGGCAATGTTACCCAGCTCAAAAAAAAAAAAAAAAAAAAAAAAAAAAAATCACCACTATAGTTTAGTTTTCTTTGTTCCCAAAAGTTTCTTGAGCGAAACTCATAGGTCTTCCAGGAGCTGCTGCTTCAAGCATGACAAATTTCAGTTGCCATTCTCGACTTCTTTCTTGGGGTCTGATGGAGTTCAATGTGGTGCTCAGGCTAGCTCCCCAGGCAGAGGGAGAAGGAAAGGAGAGCACCTCTGTGGACAGGGAGAGAAGGAAGGGAGCAGGACCTTGCCCTGGGATCTGGATGCCCTGGAGAGATCAAGGGAAAATAGCACTCACCAGGCACCATCTTGCTCATCTCCCCTCCCCGTTAGTTGATGATGCTTTCGTTAAATGAACCAGTACTTTCACATGCTTTTAAGTAAAAATGAAATTCAATTGGAAGGACCCAAATCAAACATGGTATCTCTTGAGTTATCGCTCACTGTGGATGACAAAGGCTGTTGTCAAAGTTGATTTCATTCAATTAACTTGATGAACATTAAACAACCTGTGTAGCCCAGAAAATGAGCGTTCTGGGAGATCAGTTATTACAGAAATGCAGAGGTGTCCTAACTCGTGTCATGTGAAGGTTGCCATGATGCAGATCATGACATGGCTATGAATGTGCAGGCTATGGTTTGCCCTGACTTGGGTCCATGACTGTGCCTTGAGGGTGGAAGAAACACCAGAGCGCCCTCAGATAAGATGGCTGGAGGGCATGACAAGAACCATGAAGGTAAGACCAGACCCTGCATGCAAGATGAATGCTAGCATCTGGCTGAATAGAGGAATTTGAACAAACAAAATCCTTTTTCCACAAGCTCTTCACATAATCCTACTCCACCTGGAGCTTCATAAATGAAATGAGTGGTTATCTATATTCAGGTCTAGTCAGATGTGCTGATTACTTATAGTTGAAGAGCATACATGTATCATGCTTTCTTATATATTTAATCTATCCCATGTATACATAAGATTTTGAAGGATAAATTATTGATTAGCATTAAAGTGTAAAATTTACTTGATAACTATAAAATGTCTTAAATACACTAGTATGAATTTTGAAATTATGCCAAATGACCAATGTGAAGGGTAATGTTACTACACGGGGTGTCTTGCCACTGCGTCCTTTAGGAGATTTCTGTAGTATCACAGTAAAGTCCACCTGTGTGTGAGAGAGAGGCTTGTGCTCGCCTTCCTTACCAGCAACGGAAGAGTGTTCAGAGGACCCAGCTTGGCCTGAGTATGAAAACAAACCAAAGCCAGCTCTCCTGTAATGTGTGCTCACATCCCTGAAAGAAAAGCAAGAAAATCCCAAACTCCAGATTTTCTAATACAAGCTCTAGTGAAATACTTACCTTTCTTGAGTCAAAGCAGAAGCAGCTGCTAACTAGAAATGTCAGCCTGCTGCCTCCTGCCAGAGCTTTTCTATGGCTGTTGTGGGGTGAAGAGGGTCGAGTCTCTGGCTTTCTTACCACAGGTGATCAGGTAAGAAGGAACCACAGTATCCTCTATGAAGAAATGCTGTCCGAGGTGCTACCTGGAATTCAAAGGTTTTCTAAAGAAGACCTGGGAGGGGACTCCACTCCCATCAACCAATACCAGCCCAGCCCAAAGGCTGCAAATTTGCTTCTTTCTGACACCCAGAGGAGAAACAATCACCAGCTCTTTTCCAGTGAGTCCAGCACTGTCTGCAATTGGATTTGCTTTAGTTGCAAGGATTGTAACCTAGTTGGGGTGTGTGTGTGTGTGTGTGTGTGTGTGAAGCTTGAGGCACCTGGTGTTAGTTTTACTATCCAGTTGTATTAAAATTGGCATGAAATTTTCTACCTAGAATTTCAAGCCTCCAGCTGTGAGCCTTATTCAGCAATCATTGATTTCATCACCAAAAAAGATAAAACCAGGAAATAAAATGTGTGTCAGAGAGTCCAACTGATTGTTTCTTTTACCCTTAACTAACTCCCTTTCCCGTGCCCCTCCCCTGCACCTACTGGTTTTCTGAGTTTTTTTTCCCCTCAGTCTTTAGTAAACTAATTTTAAATGTGTGAATGGGGTCACCAGGTCAGAGAGTGAGGTTCTTCACCCAGGGAAGAACCATGCCATGGATCCCAATGATAAGTTCTCCTTATGGAGCTAAAGTCTTTCACTGGAGCTGTTTCCAGTGTCACTTGATGTAGCATTTGGGATAGTCTCATTGTGGAGCACCACCACTATCCTAGTTGGCCGATACCTGTTTCATCTAAGAGGAGAATCAGGTAAGTTGTCCTTAAGCGCCTTTGGGAAATCGTGCCGTTCAGAGAGCTGCGTTGTGCTCACGCCTCTGGAAGGTCTTGCTGTCCATGCGCTGACTCTTCTAACTCCATGTCCCCCATTCCTGGGGGTGTTTGCCAGCAGGATGGAATGATGGCTCACTGAAAACTTAAGATGACATGGAAGATGACAAGGGAGATGAGAAAGTCCTGCCCAGTAATGATAGGAAGATAGGCACAATGCAGTGACCTCACAGGTCTCCATGCCTCAGCTCAGCTCTGATGAAGAAGCTCATGTCATACAGTCTCTTCAGATGATTGCAGAGAAAAAGGTGGTGACAGACAGGCAGATGTTTTACTGTTTCCACTTCTGGAACTTGCTGCAGGGTATGAAGAGGGTCAGCACCAGCAAAGGTATAGAATATCATGTCTGCAATGGATGAAGCCATCAAAGGATGGCTTCACTTCACCACCAGACAGCACTGACCAACCTATGGCAATAAGTCCCGCAGACCAGAATGACACCCATCAGATGCCTCACTCACCATATGTCAGCCCAGAATACTCTTACAGCGGTGAACCAGTCTCTTTATCCACCAAGCCTGACCCAGCAGGCAGGAGAGGCCCAGTACCAAGACGATCATCCACAATAACCTGCACGCTGCACGGAGGATGGAGGCCAGCCCTAACAGCCCACAGCCCTCAGGAGGGAGAGGCAGTAAAGGGCTCCTTCTCTTCTTGTCCTGATGAATGGGTATTGCACCAGGAAGACGAACATTAGGAGTGGGTGATCAGAACCTCAGTCCAGCCACCATCTCCTCTATGATGACGACCAAGATGGGTGAACCTTCTGAAGGCAAAGGTCCAACCAACATCCTGGGTGGCTGGCATTTTCTGAATTTCTAAAGGCCATCACGAAGTGCAGCAGGAATGGGAGTATTTGGTGCACTTTGATTTTGCAGTTGCCTCTGATGACCAAGAGATGGAGGGCCAAAGATTTCTCCTCACCCAAGGCCCAGGTCATATTTCTGCAGCATAGCTGTGACCCTCACCCCACCTACACCCAGTAGCACAATCTCCAGTAATATTTGCAAATGGTTATACTAACATCAGGTAATAAAAGCTTTTTGTTTTTGAGTTACATTTTTAAATATAAAATGTCGTTTTTTATGTTTGTCTTCATGTGGTACATTTTCCAGGATAAGATGGGCTGTGCTGTAATGGCAGATAAACCCTGCGAGTCTCAGTGGCCGGCCTCCTCAAAGTTTATTTCTTGCTCACAGGGTCTGTTGTGAGACCAGAGACTCTCCAGAGCAGCTCCCCTTCCACCCCTGCCCAGGAAATAGAACATGTGCACAACCGAGACGAATCGTGTAGAAAAACAAGGTGATTTTCCTAGAGAAGAACTGAAGTGCTTTGCTAGTATCAGTCACTATGATGAAAGGTGGAGAAGAACTATTCCATTTCTTTAATCATCTAAGAGACAGAGTACTCACTTGGAGTGAAATATTTAAACTATTTCTTTATCCCTTGAATTAAAAGACCTTAATAACATGAATTCATAACTCAAATATAGATAATAAAACCAGCATAGTTTGACAAAACAATTTTTATTCTTGAAATACCAAGGCTATTTTCTCATATAAATTACATACGTATCTATATACATATTTTCAACGACTGAAATTAATTTTAACATCTTTAAAACAGCAAATAATATCATATTTCCTGTAAAATGGCTGGTTACCTCAAAGGCAGCATTTTAACATCCTTAGCTGTTTTGAAAGATTATTAGCAGTCTACAATAAATATTACATGAGACATTTAAAGAATGGTGATTGATTTCATCATTTAAAAATCTTAGTCAAGAAGAGGCAAGAGCAATTTCTTAGAATCAAAGCTCCTTCATTGGAAAATCATTCATCTTGGAAAAAGCAGAAATATTTTAGCTAATAAAAAATATGTTATTACTAAATTGGCATTGAAGAACTTGTAAAAAATCTCATTTTACTTTAATTTGTTAAAGTCAAAGCCTTATATGCACCTTTGATTTTTATAATATTTTAACTATTTGAAAATAAAATATTAAGCATCAAAAGCAAATAGAAAAAAATAAAAATAAAATGAAAACCAATGAAATAGAACGCAGACCAGTAATAAAATCTGTGCTGCCAAAAGCTGATGCTTTGAAAAGATTATTAAAACCTGCAAAACACCTAGCAAAAGGAAAACATCACCAATATCAAGAATATAAAATGGGACATCATTATAGACCCTAGAAATGCTACCAGGATTATAATAATATATGCTGAACAACTTTATGGCAAGAAATTTGACAATTTAAGTGAAAAGCATGCATTTCGATTGTTTATGGTATAGTTACTTGCAACTCTGGAGAGTCCACATGATTCATATAGCAGCCATCTTCTAGCTTTGTGGGTTCTCTGTAAAAAAGAAACTGGAAGACTCACAGTAAACGAATGACATATACTTTCCACCCTTATATGAGTAGAGAATAATCTGCTAGAGCTTGCAATGCTGAGGTTTAGCAGAACCACTTCAGATATTATTACTAGCAGAGGAGATTAAGTTTGGGTGTGACCCACAACCCCATCACCCCTGAGCACGCCTGATCGCACCTTGGAAACTTGTGTGTGTCTTATAGCCTTATACCTAAATATGGCTAAGCAATATGGTTAGAACTCAATATCATGTTGCCTCTTGGACCCATGAAATCAAGTGATAAATTCTGGTACACTGCTCCCACTCTCACTCCATATACACACACAAACACTTACCTGCACACACTTCACAGAATTAACAGATATACATACACACTGACACTCTCACAGTCATATATCTTCTCTCTCCCTCCCACACGCAGACACATATACTCCACAAATTCTTGCTAACTGCATCTTTGAATGCCAGTTTAAAAGGAAAATTAATGTCTACGTATTTATAAAAATGTTTGACTTCTCTATTGATTTTGAGTATGCCCACTAAATCCATTTATTCCAATGAAGTATTTAGAAACTAGTCAATGGGTTTATCCTTGTCACCAGCGACCAGCACATAGCACATCTCTTGGAGGAAGATTAAAAGTAGCAACTATGAAAACGTGCTAAACTCAATTAGAAACCATTGACTAAAAAAGTTAGTCATTATTTGAATTTACAAAACCGTATTTTCAAATAATCCATTCCATGCCTATGAGTAGATTATTTGAAAACATAATTAGTTTTGTAAATGGTCTACACAGTGGGTCAACCAGACTGTACAGGGACTTGACATTGCTGGCCTCATATCTAGGGTGTTTGTACTCACAGAATAGGCTGTTTTCTTAAAATAATCTGTATAAAATGTCTTGAATTAGGATGAATAAAACGACGCCTAATTTAATTGTATTTGTGCAATGCAGCAGAAATGACAATTGTTACTGATAAAACATTATCATCCTTTATGTATGTATTCCTTAAGCTACACTATCTTTTTGAAATTTATATAGTAATAGATATTCTACTTCATGTCCAGGGACCATTTTTTTCTTTGTAAAATAATGGCAAATATAGCATCTACATAGCAGACATAGGCTCCGATTTTCAAAGCAAAATCTGCTCACCAAAGTGATTTATCAAAATCATTGCTTTAGTATAACACCCTAACACTGTGAGACTTAGCAAATTGTATCAAAATTATGTAAAAGTGGCTAGCGATTTTGAAGCGAAGCTGTATTTGTGAAATCTTGAAGTTATCTATGGCTCTTAAAATAGCTGTTCACGAATCTGAAAGGAAGTCCACTAACCTTTGAGGAAGAACCCAGGTAGGTGAATAAAACTTCCTGTAGTTCAAGGTTTTCTTACTATCTTCATTTAGTGCCTCTTTCAGTTATCTCATCTCTTCCTCTGACAAAGCACTGAATATTGCATCTTACGTTATCTTATCGGATGCTAACTCCTGTTCACTCTGATCTAGAATGTTTACTTTTCTATGTAAGCTCCCTCTGCGGAAAGTAATAACTGCCATGCCTCCTGCATTTCTACACATGGTAAAAAAGAAACTACATATTTATTTGTGCCTGTGGTGACTGCTTCTTTTAAATTTACAGCAGTTTTCCGTTTTCCTCAGGAGAGTTGAGAGTGATTTTTACTTAGAAATTAGATCAGTTCTACTTTTTGATTCTCCTCCTCGTCTTTCTTCCTCTTCCCCTACTCCCTTTCCCCCTTCCTGCTTCTTTTTCTCCTCTTTTGCTGTCTACACTTCTTCCTCCTCCTCCTCACTCTTGTTCTGTCTTCTGCCAGTCATGTATGTCAAAGTGTGTCCAGAATTGGTGGGTTCTTGGTCTTGCTGACTTCAAGAATGAAGCCGTGGACCCTCACAGTGTTATACTTCCTAAAGACAGTATGTCTGGAGTTTGTTCCTTCAGACGTTCAGATGTGTCTGGAGCTTTTCTCTTCTGGCAGGTTCATGGTCTCCTCGACAAGACTGAAGCGTAGATTTTTGCAGTGAGTGTTACAGCTCTTTAACGTGTGGAATTGTTCAGTCTCCTCTCCTCCCGTGGTCTCCCTGGCTTCAAGAGTGAAACTGCACACCTTTGCAGAGGGTGTTACAGCTTTTAAAAGCAGTGTGGACCCAAACAGTAGGTAGCAACAAGATTTATTGTAAACAGCAAAAGAACAAAGCTCCCACACTTTGGGCACCTGAGCAGGTTGGGGCTGGTTAGCTCAGGCAGTCTGCTTTTATTCCCTTATCTGGCCCCACCCACATCCTGCTGATTGGTCCACTTTACAGAGAGCTGAGTGGTCCATTTTGACAGAGTGTTGATTGGTGCATTTACAATCCTTGAGCTAGACACAGGGTGCTGATTGGTGTATTTACAATCCCTTAACTAGACATAAATATTCTCCAAGTCCCCACTGGACTCAGGAGCCCAGCTAGCTTCACCTGGTGGGTCCTGCACCCAGTCTGCAGGCCTGAGGTTGCAGTTAGCGGAGCTGGAGCCATTGCACTCCAGCCTGGACAACAAGAGGGAAACGGTCTCAAAAACAGGAGAAAGAAAAAAAAGAAAAAAAGAATCTCCAAATGTTCAAATAAGCTCTATAAAATTTAAATGTGTTTTATTTTCTCTCTTACTGTTAGGAAATTGGTATTTTAAGTGAAAACAACTATTCAGTGATTGTTTCTAGAAGAACTCCATTTTGTGGAAGCTCCTCTGAGACTTACATAAACCCTTTAGGGGAGCCCCTGGGAGAGCCTGAGCTTCTCCTGATTCAGGTTCCCTTTGGAGCGTTCACTAAGAGGCTTCTCTTTGCCGAGTTTGGTAACAAGGTTGTTGAAAATGGAAGAGTATCTTCAGCCGTGAACTTACTTTGCAACATTCACGTTTCTTTGGAGTTTCAAGAAGTTCACAATTGTCTTGTAATGAACAAGAACTTTCCTATAAGAACTACAAAGCATGCCATTCAGAAAACAGGTAATAGACATTAATCCCAGGAACACTAAATATTTTAGGAAGTCTGTAGGTTCAGAAAAACCCAGGAGCCCTGTAGACTGAATGCCTACCTCCCCTCCCTGCCAACCTCCCCTTCCTGCCCCCCCCGCCCCTCCCACCTCCCCAGTGAGCTCCCTGCTTTAAGGCTCAACCTTCTAAAGTCCTCTTTCCTGGCTGAATGAGTCTCCCATGAAGCCCTTTCTATCTCTCCACTGCTCAGAGCTCTCCAGAACTCACATTGTGATTTAAATCCAGGATTTAAATCGAATGTCTTTACTTACTAGTCAAAGCCCCACATGCTTATCCTGAAATCCCTCTAGTTATTTAGTGTTAGAAACCCACCACTAGGACCATTATTTTGCTGTTAGATCTATTTTTGGGGAAAATGCCTAATGTCAGGATTTTTGGTTTTTTTTTATTTTTTATTTTTTGAGACGAAGTCTAGCTCGGTCGCCAGGCTGGAGTGCAGTGACTCAATCTCGGCTCACTGCAATCTCCGCCTCCCGAGTTAAAGCGGTTCTCCTGCCTCCGCCTCCCAAGTAGCCGGGACTACAAGCAAGCACAACCACGCCCTGCTAATTTTTATGTTTTTAGTAGAGACAGTTTTCACCATGTTGGCCAGGATGGTCTCAACCTCTTGACTTCCTGATCCGCCCGCCTTGGCCTCCCAAAGTGCTGGGATTACAAGCGTGAGCCACCGCACCGGCCAAAGTCAGGATTTTTATCACTTATCTTTATTGAGCAGGTCTAATCCCCACAGATGAATATTTATTGACTCATTTATTTCCCTTTTTGGAGGAAGGAAGCCCTGTTGCCAGCGTTCTAAAAGCTGGACAATGAGAAAAAGCTTGGAATCTCAATTTTCAGTATGTGCTTTGTTTTCAGTATTGTACCCTTTCCTCAGTTGGTCTTAGTGGTCTCCAGTCCAGAGACTGTCTGTTTTATCCTCTATGGAAAATGAACATATTTGTCCTTTATACAGAAATGGACATGTGGGGCTGTGTTCAACCACTCCTAAAACACTAAAACAGACAGTCAGTAAATCCTTCTGTTTCCAGCCCACTTAATCCTCCAAGTTACATAACTGCAGATTGTAGCGCTCACGTAGGAAACCCTGTGAACAGCCTCCTTTGAAGCTGGTCATCCCTCCAGCCTTATTCCCCCACACCCTCAAGGGTATTTTAACTAAGGACCTAAGTTTTTAAAATATACTTTAGTCATCTACTCGCTTTATCTTCCTTCCTGCCCCTCGCACACCTTGATTAAATCCATTTTTTTCCTTCCACCCATCCGTGTCTCTTGACTCTGGCTTTTAGGTGGCAAGCGGCTGCACTTAGGACCAGACACAGTATCATGTGTCATGAGGCTTTTTGGAGAGCTCTTCAGTTTATAACTTGGTGGCTCAAAGATTTCCTTTCTACTGCTTTAGACAGCTTTTTGTGGGGATGTGTTTTCCAAAATCAGCTGTTCTTTCCATATAGAACCATACATTGAGATTACATGAGTGGCTGTGATGTCTAATGTAACAGAACATTTGATTCTGTTTGTCTATATGGTTTCTAGGAAAACATCTCTTCTCACTGATATGTTTCTTTCCCCTTACATCTCTGTTACTATATTAACCATTACCGGCTTTTTAACAATAACTTTAAGATTTTAAAAGATATTTGCAGCAGGAATTACTGTCTGCCCCTAGAGGTAACGTTTGAGTGAACTGTCTTATTGTCATTGGGAACTTCCTTTAGATCATTCCACTGCATTCCAGACAGGTCGACAAGAGTGAGACTCTGTCTCAAAAAAAATTTTTTTTAAAATAAATGATAAAAAAAAAAAGAAAAGAAACCTTTCTAAGGTAATAGTTGGAGACACTGGCAAAGACATGTGACAGTGTTTTCACTTTGTTTTATTACAATGTCAAAGTATAGAAATACCTAAATATTGAATCATGGAGGGATGATTGAATTATACAATATTCCTATGTATGGCTGATTGGTTCTGTTAGAACTTTACTCACATATTGAACTTCGAAATTTTCACTCTCCCGATCAGTTCTTTTTAGCCTCCTGTTTCATATATACTATATTTTTCTTGTTTATTGCCTGCCTTTCCCAGAATAAAATCTTCATGAAGGCAGAGATTTTTGTTTTTGCTTCATTCATTCATGTAGCTCCAGTAATTAGAAAGCTGCACATGGAAACAGCTTACTAAATATATGCCGAATGAGTCGCTGATGCTTTTTCTTAACTTAATGACATAGGGAAATGTCCATAACATATAAAATAAAATATGCAGAGTCAGAACATAAAAAAATACACACACACCCTCACACACACGCATATAACAAAAATCTTGACTTCAAGATGTTCTGCTGAACTTCAGTTGTTCTTGACTTCTGCATGTGGAGGTGGAGCATCTTTGTTAAGTTTATGAGTAATGTGATTTTCTTTGTTTATGAAATGCCAGGTTACATGTTTCCTTTGTCCAGTTTTGTATTCTTTTCTCTTCTGATTTGCATAAATTCTTCATATTCCATAAACGCTACTCCTTTGTCATAGGTGTTGCAAATATCTTATTTCCACTAATGGCTTCTATCTACTTTTCATAAAGTCTTTTGATAAACTAAAATTTTAATATTATTGTTGCAAAATGAACCAACGTTTTCATAGTTTACTGTTTTCTGTTTTGGGTATGCAATCCTTGTCCACTGGAAGGTATAAACTATTCATATTTTCTGAATTTTAAAGTTTTTTTATTTTTTATTTGAATTCATTAGAACTTACATTTTTGTGTGTGTCAAGTGTCAGGTAGGGGTCCAATTTTATATTTTTTTCTCATCTGTAACTAACTTCCCAGTACAATTCATATTTAGAGTTGCCCATTCTTTCCCAATGGACCTGAAGCAAAAGATCTCATGCACTGGGTTCCCTTATAATTTGGCCATTTCTATATTTTGAGCTGTTTGTCTTATTTATATAACCCTGTAGTCATGTAAGGAGTCTTATGTAAGGGGTCTCCCTTCTGATGGAGTTACCTGCCCCATTGATGTTTTTAGGCTTTCTCTCTGCTAATAAATATATTTACAAATACAAATCACTTTCTGAGGAATGCTTTAGTTGCACCCTCAAGCTTTGATATGTAGTTTTTTCATTGCCATTCTGTTCTAAGCATACTTTATTTTCTTATTTCAAATGTATTTTTAAATTTCGCAAAGTATAGTATATTGTGATCTTCTGGTTAACAAAATCTATGTTGTCAAATGTGGTCTAAGAATATGATCATTATCATATTAATTATTATTATTAATTTTTTTTTTTTTTGTTCTGAGACGGAGTCTCACTCTATTGCCAGGCTGGAGTGCAATGGTGCCATCTCAGCTAACTGCAACCTCCGTCTCCCGGGTTCAAGCAATTCTCCTGCCTCAGCCTCCTGAGTAGCTGGGATTACAGGCATGCACCACCACATCCAGTTAATTTTTGTATTTTTAGTAGAGACAGGGTTTCACCATGTTTGCCAGGGTGGTCTCGATCTCCTGACCTCGTGATCTGCCCACCTCAGCCTCCCAAAGTGCTGGTATTACAGACGTGAGCCACAGTGCCTGGCCCGATTATTATTATCTGTTGATACTTGCTGTGGCCTAGTACATGGCAATTTTAATAAGTGTTTCATATCAACTTGAAATAAACATATATTTTGTCATTTTTAAGTATTAGGGTCTGTTAATATCCTTTTCATAAAATTTTCATAAATAGTGCTTTCCAATATCCTTATTTTGAGATTTTTTTTGTTTGTTTATTGCTCAACCAGTATCTGAGGGAAGTACTATTTAATTGTGGCAAAATACAACATAAAATTACAATTTTAACCATTTTTGAATACAACTCAGTAGTGTTAAGTGTATTCACATTCAGAATACAACCAGTCTCCACAACTTTTTCATCTTGTGAAACAAAAACTCCACATCCATTAAATAACTTTGATTGTCCCCTCCCCACAGTGAGAGAGGTATTTTAAACTGTCTCTCTGGAATATCTGTTCACTTATCATGATTTTGTCAACTTTTACATCATATGTATTGAGGCTTTTTATATGCATAAAGGTGAATTTATTATTACTTCATACTTTATAATAATGTATTATTTTAAGCATTTTAAGTACTTACAAAGCTGATTATGGATCTTTAGTCTCTAAATACCTGCAAGGAATAAGTATAGTGCTTTATTTCTAAGGAGAAATTTCTGTTTTCACCTAGAGAATAGCAAAGTTCCCTATCCTTTCTCTCTTTAAAAAAAATCAGTCTACTGTTTGAATGTGCCCCATTTTCTATGTGCTGGCTGGGTGCAGACATCTCTAGTCCCATTCGTTATATCACACAGGTTAAAGGCTTTATCTCTGATATCCGCAAGGCTATCAACACCCCAAACTCTAAATACAGAGAATGGAAAGGAGAATTGTTATGTATTATCTAGTGTCCCGAGGTGTTTCTAATTACAAAAGTTGGGTGTTGTTTTTAAGTTATCTTAGCCAGCCACCTTGATGAATCGGGAAGTCTCCGTGACATAATATTAATCTGAAAAAAGTATAATTTGTTGATAGCATTTACTCAGTGATTCCAGAAATGTATACTGTGAGCACACCATGTGCATGGTTATGGAAGTCCATTCATCATACTGTCCACTTGGAGAATCATGGCTCATACATTTGGGAGGAGGGCTGTAATTCTAAAGGAGGTTACCACAACCCGCAGGCAGGACACAGAACCTCTGAAGTGAGCAGAAATGAAGTGTTTCCAGGGAGTAAGGAATGAGAAAGGCTAACATGTATGTAACATGTGTCCCATGTTCACTTTGGGGTGGAGACATAGCATGTAAATGTATTTCAGTTAGGCCTTGTACATCGAAAGATGAAGTGGAGGATACGAAGATGCAGGCTCTGTAGACTGGCCAGAGCTACGCCGTGGTGGGTGGTCTCTTATCGGGAAGGAATACTGGTCAGTTTCTGCGTTAAAGCTGCAAGAGGGAGGAGAAGTGTCAGGCAGTTGGTTGAAATCAGTGGGTAAGACTTTTGAAAGAGCTGGTTTCTGCCTTCGCCCTTAGGGAAGAAAGCCTAATGGTGTTAGCCGTTCTCTAGAGAAACCTTAAAAACCTCTGGTCCCTTTGACCAAGAGAAAGTCTGTTCAGTCAAGTGGGCGGTTTAGGATTCTCTTTATTTCTCAATACGTAAGTCCTGCACTCATGGCCTAGCATGATCTAGCAAGGATTCAGTGTGATTCCACTAACGACAATTTATTTATTCCTAAGTCCATGTGTATGGACATGTAAATATATGGAAGACTGCTCAGCAAAATATTGGTTCTGTTTATCTTTGATATTTTGGTGGTAGTTTCTTGGTGGTAGGTAGTTTCTTCTTCATGCCTTTCCAAATCATTTTTATTTTAGGGGTTGTATATAAAGAAAATATTATAAGCAAACCAAAAAATGCAAATAGTATATATATATAAAGAAAAAGAATTTAAAATATTTAATTGCTCATGATGCCATCAAATGGTAGACTTTCTCAGCAAATACATATATTTTCTTAACATGAAGTTATTAGCACATGGTCAGCATTTTCATTTCAATTTAATGTAGTTTACAGTTCTCATTATCTAAATTGACATTTACTTTAAAATACAGAAAAAGACGGCCGGGCACGGTGGCTCATGCCTGTAATCCCAGCACTTTGGGAGGCCAAGGCGGGGGCATTGCAAGGTCAGGATATCGAGACCATCCTGGCTAACACGGTGAAACCCCATCTCTACTGAAAACACAAAACAAAATTAGCCAGGCATGGTGGCGGGCGCCTGTAGTCCCAGCTACTCAGGAGGCTGAGGCAGGAGAATGGTGTGAACCCGGGAGGCGGAGCTTGCACTGATCTGAGATCGCGCCACTGCACTCCAGCCTAGGCGACAGAGCGAGACTCCATCTCAAAAAAAAAAAAAAAAAATGTGTGTGTGTGTGTGTGTATATATATATATCTCCATATATAGCTTTATATATATATATCTTTTTCTATATATATATATTTTTCTCTATAGAAAAAGACTTCTCAGATAATAATGGTAAGGTTAATTATACGTAATGGTCCTATTCTTTTTTTCTGTGAAGCAATATGTGAAAGCAATGACTATCTTCTCTATGAAAGTTTTAGGTGGCTTAGACAATGTTCATGCTTTTTTAGAGTCTCATCTTGAATGGGCAAGAGCCTGCAATGCTTAGGTTAGTACTGGACATAGTGAAGTGATCCGTGCCATGTATATGCATAAATCATTCTGAACAGCTGGACAGTTTCAGGAGGCCAATTAATCAAGTGGAAACCAGGTGTAGAGGACAATGAAAAGCTTTCCTTTTGCCCTCTGAAGGTTTGCTGAAAAATCAACTCAAAAGAGGTAAATTAACAGGAGAAATGGCTTTATTAATGTGCACAAAGAGAATCACAGAGTGATTGTCAATACCTTAATGGGGTTCAGAAGCTTGTATACCATGTTGTGGGAGGGGAATCTCAGAGAAAGCCTGGCTGTTTATTTCACTTATATAGATTTTCTCCACAGACGCAAATCTCCTCCACGAAAGTCAGCTTTTCCACACTGTTCCTGTCTGCTGGCCCTCTGAATAGCCACCTCAAGATACATCAAAGAACTACATTTTGGGGTCAAATATTTTTTGTTTCCTTTAGCAAAGGAAAGGTTTGTATACCTTTACTCCTTTTGTATACCAGGCATCCAGCTACCCACTATTGCTCACCTGCATCCCATCTGCATTCTACAGGGTTATTTCCTGCTTGTATCTGTTTCCTTGAACTGCCATAACAAAGTACCATAGACTAGGTGGCCTAAACCCCAGAAATTTATTTTCTCACAGTTCAGCAGTCTGGGAAGTCCAAACTTACGTTGTTGGCCGGTTGGTTTCTGGTGAGGAATCTCTTCCTGGCTAGTAGATGGTCACCTTCTAGCTGTGTTCTCACATGGCCTTCTTTAACTGTGTGTATAGAGAGAGAAAGAGAGAGAGACAGAGAGAACTTCAACCATCTGACCCCGGCTTTGAGCCTCATGCTTTGCATATGACTCCCAAGTCCATATGCACATTAACAAATGTATATGCCTTTTTAAAAATCTGCCTATTATCAGTTTGTTTTATAGGCTTCATAAAAGGCCAACAATCCTATCAGATTGGGGGCCCAACCTAATCTGATAGCGTGTAACTTTTAACTACCTAATGTCACTTTAATTACTTCCAAATGTAGTCTAAATGAATTCAGTTCATAGCAATTCAGTGCATAGCTTGGCTTAGCCTGGTCCACAGTCACAGGTGAAGCTGAGCTATGGACTGAACTGCAGCCCATCCCAAGTCATGTTAAATCCCTAACCCACAATTTGACTGTATCTCCAAATGTAGCCAAACTGGAGGCTAGGGATTTAACATATGCATTGGGAAGGGCTGCAATTCAGTCCATAGCTCAGCTTCACCTGTGACTGCAGGCCCGCTTTGACCCAGGTAAACAGACTTCTCTGTAATTCAGTACGATAACACACCTTCTGCAATCAAGTCTTAACCACAGATTTGGGGAAGGGCTTCTCTTTCCAAGTTTGTTCTTCCTTGAGTATCTTCCCTCAGCTGTAGATTAACTTACAGAGTTCACTTATGTCCTATAGTTAATCTTTTCTCATGGTGTAATTCTTTATATTAAATTTCTGTTGAAATCACTCTATGGTTTTTATCTCTGATTTGGCCTAGACTGCTACAAGAACAGACAAGCTGAGAAGCAAGAACTTGCACTATAACTGCCCCTGGTGTTAATTATTACATTTTTGTGGAATATATCTGTTATAGGACTAGGTATTTGCTTTCATTATACTTGTACTTTAGTTTTATTTAATTATACTTGTATTATGATTCTGCCATGCAAAATGTATGCCTGTGAAGAAAATAAAAATATTTCACCCCCAAATATCCTTCTTTGACATCGTTTGAGATTGCTGTTCAGAGGGCCTGCAAATAGAAGTGGCCCTGAAAAGCTGTCTTTCCTCAGGTGGGAGGTTTGCATCTGTAGAGAATCTGCCTTGATACAGCCAGGCTTTCTTCTGGAGACCTTCCTTGTCTGGGTCTAGTCTGACACCTTTAAACTTCTGAAAGAAACACTTACCATCTCTTTTCTGTGACGGCTACTACCTGTGAGGTTTCACCTACATAACAAGACCAGCTTTGCTGCCAGGCCTCCTCTTCTGTCCCTCCCATAACGTGTCCCACCACCATAACTTGATTCACCACCAGAACCTGGTTTTGCCATGCTCTGAGCTGCCATTCTTTCTGTAGCCTCAAGATGGCATAAAATCTTCAACCATCTGACCCTCACTTTGAGTTTATTAATACTTTGTATATGACACCCATGCCCATATGCATGTTAACAAATTTGTATGCCTTTTCTTCTGTTAATCTGCCTATTATCAGTTTGTTTCATAGGCTTACATTATCAAAACTTCAGGGGAAAAATGTAAACTTCCCTGCAATGCCAGTGCAGCACAAAGCTTAGAGCACATGGTAACCCTGACAGGAGGGTCGCTGCATCCGGGGGACCTCACAAGACAAGTCTGGAGGTAGGGACAAGCAGGCAGAGGGAATCAGGGTGACAGTGTGGGCAAGAGACCTGGACCACATAGCGTCTCTCTCAAGAGGGCTGCATGAAGGTGGTCACGAGGACAGGCTAGGACTGAGGGGTGGTGTATTTTGAACATGTCACTGGGGCAGAACAACACCAGATGTTCTCACACTGCTGGCCCACCATGCAGCAGCTGGAAAGAGCAGAACAGCCCTTCTTTCTGCTTCCTGGTATCCTTACTAGAAAGCAGAAATGCTTAAAGATGCCTGTCCATTAGTACAGAACATGTATTGAAGACTGCATTTGGAGACCAGAGGCAATAAATTGAAAACTAGCATGATTCTCTTAGTCACTTTTTACATAATAGATTCTGATAATTTAAGACATTTTTTGTATGTGATTTATTGTAGCCCATGTGTTACAAAGGATCTGAGAATTAGACACTTTAATTGTAATATATTACTAAGTTTAATATGGAATGTTGTTACCCCTTGTATGGGAGTGAAATATGCTTAAAGAAACATTACAATGTGTCTAAAATAACTTCTTAAACTTGCAAAAATCAGAGTGGATATGCCACATAATTGCACTCTAGTGTGAAAATTCAGAGATGTAAGAGCAGGTCAGATACCACCTGGGATAAGGTTTCACCTGTCCTCCTTTTATGATCAAAAATTATTTTGCAAATTTTGCATTTCTACAAAATTATTTTAGGTTATTATCTAAATTCACCATTTAAGATTCACCATTAAAAAAAAAAATTCTGGGCTGGGCACGGTGGCTCACGCCTGTAATCCCAGCACTTTGGGAGGCCGAGGTGGGCGGATCACAAGGTCAGGAGATCGAGACCATCCTGGCTAACATGGTGAAACCCTGTTTCTACTAAAAATACAAAAAAAAAATTAGCCAGCCGTGGTGGCGGGCGCCTGTAGTCCCAGCTACTCGGGAGGCTGAGGCAGGAGAATGGCGGGAACCCGGGAGGTGGAGCCGAGCGAAACTCCGTCTCAAAATAAAAATAAAAATAAAATAAAATATAAAAATAAAAATAAAAATAAAAAATTCTGATACCTGGTAAGAACAATATCATGCAAAGGAATTTCAAAGTTGTGAATTATCTTCTTGGCTCCACCTTCTAAGAGAGGAGGATGTACTATTTGTTCTTATAAATCCTCACGGTATTTCCCCATTAGCATCCCCAAATACAAGAGCTCTAATGAGAAAGTGGCTGCTCAGAAATTTGGGCAGACGTTTAATCCTTATGCCTTCATTTCTTTCATTGCTTAATAAACTCTAATGGATAATAGTGAACACATTTCTATATCAAATGATTTTGTAAAAATTTAGTCAAGGAATCAGGAGAAAGTACAGTCATTTCTCCAAAGGAGCGTTTCAACAGATATGTCATCAAAAACTAAATTTAAAATGGCAACCTGTGTGAAACACTTTGGAAGAATAATAATAAATAATTTGGATACAAGCTGAATACATGAATTATTTTACTGGGGTGGATGATATGGGCATTGCATGCTTATTATGTTTTTGGTTTGTATTACCCTAGATGTTGTTAATGTTCTAGTGTTTTGACAAAGACGGGCATAAAATGAGCACTAATATTTTAGTTTCTATTTTCTTAAGGAAATAGACCAGTCCTTTGCAAACACGTTTTATTTCCTAGTAAACTCATCTATTGCGACAACTATGCAATTAAGGGACAAATCATTCTTCCTTAATCTCCGTTGATGGCAATTCCAACTGGTGCCCAAGCTATGACTTTGGGATCACCACTCTTCTCTCATACTCTACATCCAGTCTGGAAAGAAATCTTTTTGGTTCTATCACACTTACAAAAGCTACCAAAAACCCTACCACTGATTAAGAACTCCATCGTTACCACCCTGATCAAAGCCATATTTTTCTCTTTCCTGGACCAATTTAATGGCCTCTGGAGGAGGACTGGCCCCCAGATGGCCTCAGCGGACCCAGCTTTCTTCTCCCCTTCTCCATTTCCTGGCTTGCAGTTTTAGAGTAACTGTAGAATGTGCGAAGAATGCAGTATCTTGATACATGGAGGAACTTTCCAGAAAAGCCTGGGCTTTGTCCTCATTCCTTGTAGAACAGGATGTACTATAATGCTTTTGCTCAGTGACCCACCCATGGGATGCCCTGGAGCTAAAACCCAGAGCGGTGTGCTTTCAGAGTCCTTCAGCTGTGGTGCAAAGTGGAGTATGTATAGATGAGTATATATTCTCTTTATACCAGAAGTAAGTATAGTTTCATTCAGTGAAAGTCACTGTCCCTAATCTATACAATACTCAAAGTTTAAAAAAAAATACTCTATGTTAAAAACTGTGAGCATTGAAAGCTGACTTGTCTATTCAACGATCATATATAGTAAAGGGTATTACAGTATAAAATACCAAGAAAGCAGATTAGTTCATGAAAAAACTGATTTTGAACATCTTTTTTATTCATTATATGACATCCTGATAAGTTGTTCTGAGGAATTACATGCTTGTGGGGTCTTAAAGTACATTTTCTACAAAAAAGTCATAGCGTTTTCTTAAAATGAGCCATCAATTAAAGCAAGAATGGGGAGTAGATGGCATTGGTAGATACAATCAACTAAAACATTGTGTGTGTTTGCACTCCAGAGTACGGTGAGCTTATATTCAAAATTGCTAAAGGAAGCAGAGTTGATTTTCTACAGCTTCTTCTGTTTCTTCTCTCAAACCTTCAAAGAGAGGAAAATGCAAAGGAATGCAGTATTCTCCCATTTAAATCAACATTACAAATGCAATTAAAGGGAATATAATATGACTAAACAAGACCTCATCATGATGTGAATTCTATGGCAGTTTATTTTGACTGCTTTTACTGAGCTTTGTGTGACTTTCTTTAGTTTATTTGTTAGCCACTCAGTTGCTAAGATCAGGATGTTTTTAGCGTTTTAGACACAGTATTTGTCGAAGCTCTTCTTCTCATACTATACTTTTCTGAAATGAATATGAAAGTATTGAAATGTCTTATCAACTTTCCATAAAAATTCTCATTTACTTGAGCCTTTGCAAATGCCTGACTAAACACATGGCTCTTCACTTCAGAACTTGCTCGTCAGCATCTGCCACGGAAGAGTTTTGATTGCACACATATGAACCCAATGCCAGCACCCCAAGGGAAGGGGCAATAGAAATGGGAGGGAAATGATCAAGTCAATGAATGATGCACTCCATTAATCTTAATGTTAGGACATTAATATTGCTTGGCAACTGCCTAAAATCAACAATAAGTGATCAACCAATTTGTTGCCTAAAAGTTACTGATTTAACCATCAATAACTTTAACAGCATAACAGTAGCAATAACTTTAACTTCACTAATTTTAAATAACTAAAGTTATTTAACTGTAACCATAACAGCATATATGTACATCAGTTATACATTTAAAAGAAGGACATTTTTTATGTACATCTGAATGGAGAATATTAGATAATATAGAAAGACATGAGACAAAGTTAATAATACAACCCCTTAGAGCTTTAATAAATGAGCTCTGTCAGTCAAGCCACAGTAACGACCTTTTCTCTGTGATATGAACCAGGACTCAGCAGGTGCACAGAGGAGATAAACTGCCATTATAAAGTACAATTAACAGGTAGTAGCAGTCTAGTTCATTATACACACATACGCATGTCTCCAAGTTGGATGATCAGTAAGTATTCACAGCAAGTAATCACCCACTGAACAAAGCAGCATTACTTCACCTTCTGAAAAAGTGGTTTCTACTTCTTTGAAAAGCTTGCTGGTGACAAGACGAAAGCTGAAATAGGTTACAATTCTAATACACACACAGTACAGGTAACACAAAGAGTCTTTCATTCTTTAGCATTCTTAAGCATCACCCAAAATGCCAAGAAGAAATATGGTAAGTTTCAAGGTTTTACATAAAGTACTACACTGACCTTTTAAAGTGAAGGGCTTAGTCACCCAAATACCGTCTCAGGCCCTACAGTATCTCCCCTGAGTTCCCGGTATATAATTTATTATACCAAACAGACCACTCTCCGGAGGTCTTCTGATATTTCTAGATCTCTTCCAACTTATAACCTAATCAGCTCCCTCAGTGCCACATAGGCCTCAAGCGAATCTCAATCACTCTTCTTCCATTCATTTTTCATTCACTTATTTACAAATATGTATTTAGCATGAATTGTCTGCCTGCACTGTTTTAGGGGCTCAGATATATGATAGGACCTAAGAAAGGCCCTCGTTCTTGTATCTCTGTAAAGGAAGATGAAAAGTTTTAAAAAGGTAAATATTTAAAAATACTTCAAAGGAGGCCAGGTGTGGTGGCTTACACATGTAATCCCAACACTTTGGGAGGCAGAGGTGGGTGGATTGCTTGAGGTCAGGAGTTCGAGACCAGCCTGGGCAAAATGGTGAAACCCTGTCTTTACTAGAAATATCCGCCCCTAAAAAAAAATCAGCTGGGCGTGGTGGCACGTGCCTGTAATCCCAGTTACTCGGGAGGCTGAGGCAGGAAAATCACTTGAATCTGGGAAGCAGAGGTTGCAGTGAGTGGAGATCATGCCACTCTAGCCTGGGTGACAGAGCGAGACTCCATCTCAAAAACAAAAAACAACCTTTAAAAGACACAAAATGCTGTAATAGCAGAGAGTGATCATTGCTTCAAAGAAAATAAAACACGATTATGGAAAATAAATGAACTAGTTAATCCGAGTCCTGTCTGTGTCCACTGCTACCATTTTGGAGTGAGTTCTTGTTAGGTCGCCACTTACCCAGGCTCCAGTGATACCCTAATTGGTTTCCTTCTGTTAATGGCCTTCATTGTTTTTTCTGCAATGCTGCCAGTATTGTCAGAGCCTGCAATAGCAATTATTGAGCAACTTTTCTTGAGACAATAACCTTATGAGAGGGGAATAGTAAGCAGGGTGAGACAAGGGTGAGATCTACCTAAGCCAGGATAATCTCAACACAAGAC